GGGAACTCTGCAAAAAACGCATCTTCGCACGGGCAGCCCGTGCGTTGGCCAATTTTTTTTTTTGGAAAAAATTGCAAGCTTTTTCATTTAGCCCTACTACTAAATTCCAGCAATCCACTGATAACACGGCCAAAACCATAACATTCACTATTAGCACAGAATCGAATAAATCATTTAGTATTGAAAAAACTGGAAAAATCGCTGGGACGAAAGCCTGAAGAATGATGACTAGCGGCATTATTTGAAAAATTATGAATATTTTCCATTTCAGCCGAAAATAACACACTTTAAGTGGAATTATAGTAGTTGAAAACGGGTAACACAGTAGCATAGGAGATAAAGGATCAGCCTAAGTATTATGTGCAAGAAGACTTAGCAGGACAATTTTAATTCAGTAAATCTGAGCAAGCAACATCCAGCTCTGCGATGTTGAGATGGACGGCAGTTATACGCTCCTAATGAACGAAGAGGATCAAGGTTATTTCCGGACAGCATAGGTTACTTTTAATGCATAAACGATGGGAAGCGAGAATCCGAGATGCATTTTGCGCCACCCTCAAACCATTACATAAATGGATTATTGTACGAGGTGAGTGTCAGGCAAGTCAACGGTTGCGTCAAGGACCTTCCATTTCACTGAACAGGATTAGCACTGCTCAGAATGTTATTTACAGTGAATGTATTTTGTGTGCCAGAAATCTCGAGCCGTTGGCTGGCCTGTTGTTCACGTGAGAACTGTCGAACACAGACGAGATACTCGATTGTCTGCAGCAAATTTCCATTACAGCCTTCCAGGACCGTTTCAAGGATGCGCTGCTCATGTTCCGCGAACAACGAACGCAAAAGCTCGATTGGGGTCAACCGTTCCAGGCAGTTCTCAGCGGTTACCATCGACGCCGTACGGTTACCAGTAGCGGCCGACAACGATTTTTCATCGTTCGTGGTGGATTCTGGCACTGGTGATGGACTTCCAATGTCTGCAAAATTCTTTCCTTCAAATTCAAAAGTATTCAAAATTTATTGCTCTAATTTGTTGTTTTTACTGGTAATTATTACGATCATCTTGACAACTTCTCAGTTTTGCGTGTTGAAGTTAGAGAGGAAGCGCAAATACGAATAGTTGGAAATTTGTACGCAAGCCAGAACTCGCCTGGCCGAAATGAAGGCACCCTGAGATCCTGAGCTAGTTTCGCCTTATTTGCTAAGTTATTTGAAAGTATAAGGCGGATTAATCTGTTTTCCGCCAAAAGCAAAACTCATTCAAATCCTTGTTTCAGCACAAGGCAGATTACAACTATACGAGACAGTTCAGCCCCAACTTTTTGCGCTTGCCACTGTTAAAAACACATGACAGACTCTATAGTTAACGCAGAAAATGTGTCCGCATGTAAAGAATCGAAGGTCAAGCAAGAAGTAATCCGGAAAGTTTAGGAGTGTTCTCCGAGAAGCTTAAAAAGCACTTACCTCTTTGTTTTTCGCAGTTTGCATCGCTTTCTCGGCTTTGTCGACCGTTCTTTTCCTTTTCTACAAAAAAATCTCACAAAATTTGAAATTTTTTGCCATTGAAAATCTTCTGTAGATAATATATCCCCTAACTGGTATCGCTCATTGCGGCTTAAGAACGACAACAATGAGATAAGGTGTTGCAGCTCCTCACACAACAGTGGTATCGCGAAACGGCTGAAGCCTTGCTGAAGTGCTTTTATTGAGAGAACCATTAAGCTGATAATCCTTTCAAAAGAGACAAAACGAATGCGAGGTTCGTTGGCAGGAAGACGACCAAGAAAAATGCAACGCCGGTCAGAGTAATTGAAAAAGTTATCAGCTGCATTTTTGGAGTGTGGCGCTACGAACTGTAACAAATTGAAATCAGAAATTAGAACCAATACATTAAATTTTTGCATAGAATTTATCGCCGTTGAAAGTAGTTATGCGATATTGCAAGTTATCAGTGTAACAAATGCTCACTATTGTACAATATTTATTTATGTACATGCGCCTCTGATTACTCTAATAATCTGGATTTACAGGCGACAATCAACTAAATTTGAAAGCTCCGAAACAAATTTTTCTGATCGTGTGAACGCAGTCAATTTAAAAACTCTTTCCATACCAAGAATTACGATTGCAGATTTAAGTGTGGGTATTTTATAAGCCAGCGAAAAACATCTAATAAAAAAAAAACAAATGGTAAAACAATATGGCGGGACATGGCCGACAGTATTACCGCTGCTGTCGCACAGAAAGTAAAGAGTTCGACTCCATCAGCGAGACAATCAAAACCCTCTACGATTCGTTCATTCGTTTCGGTGATAAATTGGTATTGGGGTTAACGTCAAAGAGTCAAGCCAGCCATTAGATCGCTTGTACAAAACTCTCAAAAGAAGAAGCCATCGACAGATTTGTCAGCGACTAATTGCTGTTGGCGTAAGAAAACAAGAAAGGAGGGAGCGGAAGAGGGGGGAAGGTTATAAACTAATACAAAGGCAGGAAATCCATAATGTGGCTTCGTAAAAGGTAAAAGCGATAAAAAGAGATGTTACAGAAGTAACTTCGAGAAGTAATTTTCAGTAAAATTTTTTAATTATTCCCAGTTCCTTGGTAATTAGTGTAGCAAAAAAGAGAATTTACATTTTACCGGGATGCTGTCGAAAACGTCCGAAAGGCCATAGAGGTCCTTGAGGCAGATGCATGGTTGTGGGCTGTTGTCCAGCAACTGCCCGTAGTCCTAGAGCTATAGCATCTTCAGCAGCCTGCTTTCGTTTCAGTGCCACTTGTGCTGCCATAACTCTTTGACGTTCGGCTATTAAGTTGCATTTTTGACATGTGCAGTACCTAAACATAAGCTCTTTCGTATCCGAGTTCACAGGATCTGCAGCTGGAACTCAAAAAATTGAGCTTGATAAGCTGGACATTTTATGGTCTAATGATATTACTAACATTCATTTTCAAATGTAAAAGATAGTCGCTATTTGAACGTTTTTTCATTGAGTTTTCATTTTTTTTTCATTCAAAATCGGAGATGGCTACTCTTCCTTTTGACCTCCTCCTGTTTATTTATTTCTGGAGCCACTTTTATGCCCAAAAATTACTGTAATTCAGTGCAGTTTCATGTTTTCCAGCTAACATTCGTTTTGTGCACTTAAGTCAGCTTCGACAAACAGTGCAGAAATCCCATGTTAGTGACGTTACTAGATGCTTCCGTACTCTATGCGCAAGCTATGCTAGATAAGTATATTGGTTCAGTCAATTCTCCACTAACGGCAACTGCATATTCTCCACTAACGGCAACTGCATAAGCTTAGTTAGTCTGCTCGATACATGTACATCACTTCTTCCGAGGCCACCAGAGTGATCGTCAATTTAGCAGATTCGCTAATATGCAACTCCTATCTATTATATACAAAACGAGCTGCGTGATCCGCGCATTGGATTTTGTATTTCTTGTGAAAGCTTGTTATCTTGCAGGCCGCTCATCTGACGAAGAATCTAATTATTTATACAGTCACAAAGAGACCTGAATTTTGCAGAGTGAAAGATTAAATTTTGATAAAATTTCCATCTATGTGCAGCATTTCAGGCTCATTATCAGTAGTCCTGGTGGTCCCTGAAATATTGCTCTGTAAAATTATGCTCAGAAGCTTCTGCCTTATTTTTAGCTCTCGAATTGTTTAAGCAATAAACTACATAGCTATAGCGGAAATGGGATGCAAAAATACACACATGTAAGCGCATTTTCGCTTGTGTCCTTTGAGCCATGACACGAGACCGTGGTTGCGGCAACGGGCGCACTTTGGACGACGTTCGCGGGGTTCGCGGTATCCAACAGGGTGCGAAGTCGAAGAAGAGGTGCAGCAGAATCCAGACAGTGAAACTCCGTCGAATATCGCTGCACACCGCCCAGCTGCCATGAGCATGCTAATGATACTGTCTCGAAAGTTTGGGTAACAAAAGTGGATTTGTGTCTGTGAGTGTGTACAGCACCACCTCATCGTCCAATCCTAGCTGAGTGAGGGAGGTACTTGCTGTAAATTTGCACAGAGCAATGCTTTTGTTGATTGTGACTTAGCTAACGAGGTCTTGCGACTGAGAAAGAGTCCTGACTGCACTGCTTACTGGATGCTTTGTTTATAAAAGGCCATATTCATCGTTTTGTTTAAATTGAGTAAAAAATAAAGGGGAGGAGGAAGGAAGTCTATTGGCCGACTGTGTTTGGGTGGTTAACCGCTGCTTTAACACTGATCGCACCTGTCGCCCACATGCTTGCACCAGCTTCCAGGCTTCTGACAGCTGCAAAGCATTCTCAAAAACTGCCCTTTTCAGCTCACTGCAAAACTGAATATCTTAGGTTTGCGTGGCAGCAAAAAGATGGGCAGTTAACTTGACAAACAGCTTGCTGTCGGCGGCTTTTCGCTTTTGAAACAGTTGACGAATGAAGACAAAAACTACATTGCGCTAATTTTGGGTCGCAGACTGAGCTACTGGAATGCTTAGAAGGCAGCTGGTAGTGGTAAGAATAACTTCGAGGCAAGAGCTAGGCAAATGGCCAACACCGGTAGTTTTATTCTTGTTTAAAATTCAAAAACATTAGATCCTCCACTAGATGAGAGGTATGCAGGATATTAGTACGAGCATAAGAGAAAGTAAAATTCGATGAGCAAGATTTGTTGCCTGACTTACCAACAATCGGTGGATGTCGTATATTAATGAGTGGCATTCAAAAGAAGTGAACTACCGCTTAGACGGTCCTAGGAGGTGACCCGCACACACACGGAACAGGTTGATAGATAATACTGAAGTATGAAGCCCAGGATCGGAAGGCCTAGCATGAATTTGCCTGGCAAGCATCTTTGTAAAATCACTAACATGGGCTAATACCCATACTGTTAGCTCAGACCGTCTTGACAGTTTTGATGATTCTCCAGACGTTCTAAACGGGTTTTTGGCCCTATCTTGTTCTATGCCTTCAAGGACAAATTCGGGCGAGTTTTTTAAAGTTAGTAAAGAGTTAAGAACAGAAAAATTTTTGGGATTTTAATTGCTCAAATACGATGGTTTGATTGCTGGGAAGTCTGCTTTTAGATCTTGTTTACTCTTCGCATATAATTGTTCAATCAATTGAAGGCTGGTGAGAAGTTGATAAACGAATCGAGCCCGCGAATCTGGAGTTTTGATAGTTCGCATGCCTTCGGTCAGTTAAAAGGCTTCTGTGGTGATATTTCATGTATGGTGATATCTCGTTTACTAGGCTTCTGTGGTGATATCTCTTTTACTTGGTCTCTATAACAGCTTGTAGCGAAAACGTATAATTGTGCCGGTATTCTGGTGCCTCACTATTTATAATCCTGCTTAGCCACTGAAAAATATGCCAGGCAGCAGTCTTGTTGCTTCTCATGCTGCTTCAGAAAGGTGTGTCAGATACTTGAGAAATCCACTTGATCCGGTTTTGTAAACCTTTGGATTACTGTAGCTTGAGTGGTAAAATCTCGAAGTAGTTAGTTGCCAGCAAAAAAATAATTCACTGATCAAGGTGAGATGTGCAAAAAGCGCATTCGTTTCAGTTTTGAAAGGAATCAACACTGAAACAGTAATTTTTGACGGTATGAGAATCGAACAATAAAAAGTATTCTTATTCGTTAAAAAGTTAAAACCCTCTTCTGTACTCGCTCTCAGTGAGATGCAGAGACGCTTGATGAGCAGTCTGAGCCGTAGCAATTAGATGCTAGAAGCAACCATCCGCTGGTATGGCTACCGATGACTCCGTCTTTCGAGATTTGCTTACAGTCAAGCTGATGGTGAGTTTGTCTCCCTGACATTTGCCATTACTGATTTACCATCGAAACAAATGAACGATTCGCAGAACCATGTTTTTATTGCAATGCAAGAATATCGTATAATCTACAGCTTTATCCACTTGTTTTTGCTTTAGGTTCGCAACAGATTTGTTGGACTAACGGATTCTCTTAAAAAGATTTTATTATAACGCTTCAGTGCTTTTCAGAAGTACCAATTAAAGTCAGAAGTCAAAATCTCTTTTGTATCCGCTTTTTATGAGAAACATACCAATGGTGCAGTAAAATTCCAAATTTTCAGTTATCGAGGACAAATTTTTATGAAATTGTCCTCATGGAAGCCACCAAGGCGTAACGTCAAGAACTTTTTCACCGGGACCAAGGGCGTAACTTTCTCTCTCTCTCTCTCTCTCTCTTTCGAATTGTTGCTTTTTATGCTTTTTTTGCAGCAATGCAATGCGAAGAACGCATATTGACGAGAGGTTGTCTGTGTCCGTGTGTCTGTGTGTCTGTGTGTCTATGTGTGCGTCTGTCACGCACTTTCATCTCAGGACCTATAAAAGCT